ATACAGTTCATTTAGTGACTGTTCAAAGTTAAAATGGCCCTGAAAAAAGTGACATGATTTCAGTAAGACATTTTGACAAAATGGATCACAGCCTACTTCTTGGTAAAACAGAAAAAGGTGAGATAGACAATATAATCATTAAATGGATTTGCAACAGGCTGGCCAACCCCACACAATGGGTAATCTACACTACACTACATCTAAATGGAGGGAAGCATGCAATGGAATACCCCAAGGTTCTTCCTTAGTCCTGAACGCTTCAGCATCTTCATAAATGTTTGTTTGTTTGTTTCTTAGTTTGTAATTTATTTGTTTATAGTTTTGTCATGTTTATATAGTGTATATTGGAGATGTTGACCTTTTGAGAGCTGTAGGTAATGAAATTTCATTTTAATGTATGCCAATTAGTGTACACTTAAAGTGACAATAAAGTTATTTATGTCTTAAGTCTAATTTAGATGAGAGGGTATGAGGAGAACTCATACATTTGCAGTCGACACCAAGCTGGGGGGAATAACTCCAGAAGATAGACTCAACTAAGCAGTTGTGGGAACTAGGCATATCTAGTCTAACCAAAAGAAGAACAAGGGGTGACATGAGAGCAGTCTTCCTATACTTGAGAGGCTGTCACAGAGAAAAGGGAATCATTGTATTCTCTAAAGCAGCGGTCACCAACTGGTGGGCTGTGGCCCACTGGTGGCCCATGAGAAAATTTTGGTGGGCCGCAGAGAAATCTCACCTCCAAAGCACCCCCACAAAGCAATTAATCCAGGCTGTGCAGAAACACAAGGCTGTGCAGCCCACATGGCCCGCAGGAACCCTCCCCACCCACTCACTCCTTACCCAGTAAACTTGCCTGCTAAATTGCTATTTTTCCTTTTTCCGACCATCATCTGTTCTGCTGTGCCGGGAGATTTAGATTAGCTAGGAACACGAAATGGTTGGGTTTCTTGCTTCCTAGCTAGTCTTTAGATCTTCGGCTCAGCACAGCCGAACCTCCCTTAGGACTGAAGGTTTGCTTGCAAGCAAATTTGAGAGACTGAGCTAGCCGATGGCAGATAGATAGATTACTGAATGATTCTGTGAGCAACTCAATATGGCTGTTTTGCATGATTTTGGATAAAAGTTGCTCTTTTTTTAAATAACAAAAATCAATATTTACATGCATGGTGTGTTGTGAGTTAATTTTGTGAGTTTGCTTGCAAGCAAATTTTATGTGACAGACTGAGCTAGCCAATGGCAGATAGATATCTGAATGAATCTGTGCCAGTGTCTTAACCACTCAGCCACTGTGTCCCTAATTCTAGACTTTAGGGGTAGGCAAACTTTTTGCGGCTGAGGACATTTAGGAAATTTAATTAGGAAATTTAATTTAGGAAATAAAATTAGGACATTTAGCATTTAGGAAACATCCAAAGACTGCAGTGTAGTACTGGTAGAAATAAGATTTTGTGTCAGACCAGCCACAACTTAAATCTCTGAGGAGAAATGATCCTTGGCTCCACTTGATGAGAAAAGTATAGTTTTATTAGAAATCAAGTGTATTGCAGTAATGCAAAGTCAGAACTGAGAATCACACGCCAAAATCAAGTTCTATTCTTCCCTCCTTAATTGCTCCTCGCTGCTCATTTCATTGTAACCAATCATGGTCATGCAAGATGGTTGGTATGCAGTTCCCTCCTCCTTCCAGCTGGATGACCTTGGAGCAATGTTTCAAGGTGGCACATTTACTATTTTCATTTTCCTCAAACATTCCCCTCAACACAGTTTATGGCAGACTGGCAGACTCACCGCATGACAGCAAAGCACAAGCGAACATAAGATGGCAGCTGGCATTATGGCTTTCCTAGGGCCAAAAGGGGAAGAAATTTGAGGGGGGGAGGCCTCCTATTTTCAGTACTTAGGATCAGTGATGGTATTCCACCTGTTTGGCCCAGTTCGGGCTAACCGGTAGTAAAAAAATGTTACCGTTCAGCCAAACTAGTAGTAAAAAAAGTGTTGTACCTCATGATTCTTGACGAATGTATCTTTACTTTTATGTACACTGAGAGCATTTGCACCAAGACAAATTCCCTGTGTGTCAATCACACTTGGCCAATAAAAGAATTCTATTATGTTCTGCTTTGTTCTGTTCTATTATTTTATTCTGTAAGCAATGGACTTTTCCCCTCAACTGAAAATAATGAAGTTCTGAAAAAAAGGTATTTCAAAAGGAATCCTTCATTGAAAGGAAGTGAATCCAGTACTAGTGAAAGCAGAATCTAAGGTGCTTCCAGGCATACAGTAATAAATAAAGGGAGTTAGAACCCCTCCCCTTATTTAGATGTGGATTTAGTCAAACAAAGAACCAACATGTTAATTCCTCTCTCTCCTTTCCTGGGAACGTATCTTAGAGGATTTTCCCAGGGAGTATCTTCCAGAGCTTGAATTTTTATGGTCCCTTCTCCTCTTGCTATCTCTCCAAGAGGTGACAAGTTTCTAGCCATCTGGCTCCAGTCCTCCAGTTGTACATCAATATAACATTTAATATATTCAGGTTATATCAAAAAGGATTACTTGTACCAACTTCCCCCCCTTCTATCTGGCAGATACATGGATCTGACCTATTCTATTCTTCTATTCTCCATTCTATTCTATTTTACTCTATTCTTTGCAGTGCTGGAAATAGAAGCAGCTACTTTAATAAATGTGGGCAGATGCCATGCTAGCACTTCTACATCTTCCACATGAAATTCAAAATGCACTCTGATGCAGGAAACACAAGCATGATTTATCAAGGTTATATGTCAGTCTTATCAAACAACAAACCATGAAAACACATTAAAATAAAATAGTCACATTAAAATAGCTTGAATATTAACCAAAATGGCAAGCAAGGGAATAAGGCACAAACCGAGTAGAGTTAGAAGGTCCTTCCTTCAAATCTTCTAACAAATGCTGGTGTCAGTTATGCTGAGTGTAGGGTGAGGCTCCCATCATGAGCTTCCACTGATGGAGGTTGGATTTTAAATGGGGTTTCCTACACGAAATTCAATATCTGAACCACTGCTCCATGCCAATTCTCATTACTTTCCCTTTTGAAGCTATGACATGGAATTTAAAAGATGTTCTCATTTTGGTTTGTTTTTTTTAACACTGGGTTAAGATTTACAGTACTTTGGATATGCTTTGCTTTGCAATGCAATGGAAATAGAAGCAGCTACTTTGAATGAGTTGCAGGCAGATGACATGTTAGCACTTTTCCACCTTCTGCATGAAATCCAAAATTATTATTATTTATTGAATTTATATGCTGCCCATCTTGCCTAGAGGTGGCTTTCAAGCAGTAAAGAAAGCAATATTAAGTACTAACATTAAAAATAATAAAGATGACGACTTCCGGTTTGAAGGGCTTCAGCGACAGACAGAAATCCACGATCGTGAGCTGTTTCTGTCTGGGCTCACCGCTGGAGCTCCCTGACCCAGCTGGTTTCGGGGCTAAGCCACCCCGTAGAGGTGGTGAAGAGGGGGAAGAATGCCAGCAGGGTTGAGGAGCTGCGTCTCTCCTCCTCAGCTGGCCATTACTCCCTTTCCCGAAGGCGGTTGTAGCGGTGATCAGAAATGGCCACCACAAAGGAGAACTCGACCGGAAAAGAATGTGCAGTTTAAAATTTTTTCTACAATGGCATTACTTGTGGATGAACTGAAAATGGAATTTAAAAAATATAAAGAAGAGGAACAAGAAGGGAAGGGCTCTTTTGGCTCTATTTTTCAACTTTTTAGAAATGGCGATTTCTACCTATGAGAAACTACAAGAACAAGAAGATTGGGATGAAGAAGAAGCCATCTTTAATGAACAAGCAACTTTATCTGGGGAAGAAAGGGGAAAGGGGGGAAAGAGAATGGAGAATTTAAGACTTAAAAAAACAACCAAAAAAGGGAAAAATAAGGTGAAAAGTGGATACAATGTCAGAAAGCAACAGAAAAGAGGAATACAGAAGAGGGTGGAGATCAAGAGACAAGGGGGTAAAAAGGGTAGAGTGGAGAAACAAGGGAGGAAGGAAGGGAAGAGAAGCTACAAAAGTATGAAAGAAGATGTAAAGAAACAGGATTTATTTAGAGATAATGGGTAAAATATAACTAAAAAAGAGATCCTGCAAAGGTACATAAGACTGTATTGTTGCATTTGTATTTGAAATAATGTTAGAAAATTGGAACAACATATGATTATAAAATGGGATAAAATATTTAATGTAATTTAGTGAAATTTTCTTTTTTTTTTAAACAAAATAAATGAAATGAAATATGAGAGAATTGAACTAAGAAGGAATGGGAACATCTTAACTACATAATATTTTAAAATATATGTGAAATGAGGGGGAAGTAACTAAGCAAAATTTATATGTGTTCCCATAGAAGCATGATACTTATTTGAAAAGGAATGTGTAAAATGTTTAAGATTTAAATGAATATTAATTTTAACGATAGAGTTCAATTGCTATAGATTGTTGTTTTAATTATATTATATATTTATAATTTTTTCTTATTTTAAAATATAGTGTGTAGCTTTAGAATGTACTAAGCAGAATCTGAATGAAAATTATGTATTATTTTAAGTGTTAAATTTAGGGGAAAGATACAAAGGCGTCATACTCCAATCAGTGATTACAGGAGAAATTTTGTGTTAATGAGAAAAGATAATAGACAGCTGAAACAGGACAGACAAAAGATATAGGTATAATGATTTAAATTGAGATGAAACAAATAAAATAGAATTAAGAGAGTGAAAAGAGGGGAGAAGCTATATAGAAAATATAGAATGGTAAATAAGATATGGAATGGTATATAAAAGTGAGCATGAACTTGAACTTATGTCTGTACAAAAAGATGTAACCCGGGATCAAGCTGCTTTCCAAAAAGATGCTTTATGTTTTCATGTTTTGTGTTTTGTTCGTATATGTTTGATTTTTAAAAATTAATAAAACTCTTGGGAAAAAAAATGGAAGCCTGAGTCAACCCTGACCCTGGTGAGATTCGAACTGCCAAATTGCAGGCAGACAGTAGTCAGCAGAAATAGCCTGCAGTACTGCACTCTAACCACTGCACCTCCACGGCTCCTAATTAGCTAGCCTTAATTCTAAAGCAAAAATTACTAAAAGCTAATTCAGGACTGAGGTTATTAGGGTTATTTAAATACAATTCTTAAATAAACATTTTTAGCTTTAAATAAAAGAAACAGACAAAATATTAAGACCTCCCTAAGATGCTGTCACTCAACATATTGCTCTGCCCTCCCCCCCACCCAGACAGGAGCTCCCCTTCATTCCAGCCTTGATGCAACTTTCTGGCCGACTGCAGAGAAAATGTTTCTCCATGGAGCATACAGTACTACTGGCCCCCTTTCCGTTCAGATATGCACAGAAGCCTTCTCCTCGCACTGGAAACCTGCAGAAAGAACAAGGAATTACTGCTATCTGCTTGGGCAGAAATTAGCACTGCAAAAATGATCCTTCTAGGAAGATTGCCATCTTTAAAACACAGGGTACATCAGCCAAGAGATGTTACATATTATTCCCTGAGCATTTTTCTTCTCTTTTCCTCCCCTTTCGGTGCTTTATTTTTGCAGAGAGAGCCTTAGGTAAAAATTACCCTCATTTTTATTATTGTTTCAGCCATTGAAACTGAAGATGTATGTAAATACTTTGAATAGTTAAATAGCTATATAGATACTAAAAGCAAAGAAATAAAACCCTACTTACTGATTTTTAAACACTGTGCCATTGGACCATTTCCAGATTTGGTTAACTTTTCTTGAGAGACCAAACCAGTAATGAGAGGAATGGAAAATATGCACCAAAAACTCCTAGGAGAAGGGAGATAATGTATAGTAAAATCCTCATTTAAAAGACTTAACTGAAAGAAGAAAGTGTAAGAAATTAATCATGATGTCTACTTATTCCTTACCAGTTCTTTCTGAGTATCAATCACAGCCAAGGAGCCATTAAATGAAGAACAAGTTTCTAAACTGACAGGCCAATTCCTTTCTTCTTTTGATACATAGAGACATTTTCCATTGTATTTAATCCAGGAATCTGGGCAGGCAACACTTACAAGGGGAGGGCAAGGAGAACATGTTTCTGTCTTTTTAACTAGAAATAAAGCAAAATGGACAAATGATAGAACTCACAATCCACTACAGTTCTGACAACAAGGTTTGAATAGTTAATATTAAGGTACCTCGCTTAAATTGCAATGTGTTCTAGTCCTGGGTTAGACACAAAACCCAGTTGAGTTACCTTAGGATAATAAAAATAAGGACAAATAGGCTGAAAAATAGCTTCTATCCCAGGGCAGTAATTCTACTGAATTCTACTGTATAGTGCAATATGAATGCAATATCAGGGGTTTTCAATTCAATGTATAGAATGTGAAGGATGTGTGTTTGTGTTTATGTTCATAGTCATAATGTACACCTAAGATGGTATTTAATTTCATTGTATGAGGTGCAGTGACAATAAAGCAAACTAAACTAAACTAAAATTAGGCCAGTCACTCTCTCTCAAGCCTTAGAAGAAGAAGGAAGCAGGGGCAAACCACTTCCAACGTCTTGCCACACAAAAAACCCCCCACCTGTTTTTGACTGTTCAGCATTCCCTTCCTCACACGATCAAAATTTGGATACTTGGCAACTGATTCATATTTAAGATGGTTGCAGCAGTGGACTTCCGGTTGAACTTCCCTGAATATGGACCATTACCACGATCGTCCGCGGCTTTGGTCCGTGCTTCTTCGTCGGAGAGCCCCGATCATCCAGATCTGGGGCAGAAGTTGCCTCGAAGGGGTGGTGGAGGAAGGGAGACTGCCAGCCAGGTACAGGGGAGCCACATATCCCCTCCCTGGCTTGGCAAACACTCCCTCCCGAAGATGTCTGAAGCGGTGGTCTAAAATGGCCACCCTGAAGGGGAAGAGTCTGCTGGAATAAGAGTGTGCAGGAGGAATGGTGGAAAAAGAGGACAGCATAGAAACCAGGAGAATTTTGGTATAAGGTACCCCAGTTTTGAAATCTTTTAAAAGCGTTAAGAAAGTAGATTTAAGCTGTGGACAAAGAAATTAAGAAAGAAAAATTGTGACAGATGAAATGGCTTTGTACTTAAAAGGAAGAAGCCGAAAGAAGAAACCTGCATTTGAAATAATTAAATATACAACCCTGACACCAAACAGGTTTATTAAAACTGGATTGGGCCGTGTCAAGGTGGAAAATAAAATTTGAAAATTAATGCTTGAATTTACTGATATTGGAACTTTAAAATCTTGAATAAGTGAAATCAGGAAAAAGGAAAAGAATTTACTCTAAACAGAGCAGGGAGTGCCATCTAGTGGAGAAGGGAATTGTTTATACATATCCCTTTCTATTCTAAAACTTGGATCCGTTAAAGCAGTGGTCCCCAACCTTTTTTGTACCAGGGACCAGTTTCACGCAGAAACACTTTTTCAAGGACCGGGGGTGGGGGGGGAGTCCGAGTTTGGTGGTTTGCTTGCAGACGTTTCATTACCTGACTAGGTAACATCTGATGTTGTTACCTAGTCGGGTAATAAAACGTCTGCCAGCAAACCACCAAGTTCAGGGAGCGCCAATGCCTCCTCATTGCAACCCTGAGCGACAGATATTCTCTTCTATTGGGACATTTAAAACGGAGGGTTTCAGCTGCAGATTCAGGAACTGCGCCGGGCTGAGGAGCGCCTTCAAAACTGAGCGCTGGGCGGTGGCGGCCCACGGCTGTCTCTGCGGCTCAGGACAAGTCCCTGCAGGACGGCTGAGAAGCCCTGCCTCTCGGCCCTGCCTTCCTCAGCCCCATCCCTCAGGTGTCTCCCTCCCTCCCTCAGCCTCATCCCTCAGGTGTCTGCCTCGTTCCTCTCTCAGTCACTCTCTCGCTCCTCCACCAGCCCAGGAAGAAACTGCTTCAAAGAAGCCGGCAGGGTGGCTTTTCCTGTCGGCACAGCTCTTCCGAAGCGCCCATTCACCCCCACCCCGCCGCCCGCGGTTCAATCCAGTGCTCCGTTCTGCCTACCTGCCTGCCTGCCTTCGTTTCTGGTTGTTTCGGAGCAGCTTCGGCTGAGTAAAAGAGGCAAATAGTTATTATTCTCAGCCGAAGCTGCTCCGAAACAACCAGAAACGAAGGCAGGCAGAATGGAGCACTGGATTGAACCTGGATTGATTGGCAGCGGGGTGGGGGTGAACGGGCGCTTCGGGGGAGCTGCGCCGACAGGAAAAGCCACCCTGCCGGCTTCTTTGAAGCAGTTTCTTCCTGGGCTGGTGGAGGAGCGAGAGAGCGACTGAGAGAGGAACGAGGCGGGAGTAAACCGAAGCCACTGAGCCAGAGAGTAGGACAGGCTTTGGTTGCTTCCTCCCTCCCCTTCTTTCATTTGTGTCCTTGATCCCTGATCCCAGCAGCATTCACCGAAGGTGAAGAAAGCCGCCATTTTTATTTTATTTTTATTTTCTTTGCGGCCCGGTGCAAAGTGATCCACGGACCGGTAACGGTCCGCGGCCCGGTGGTTGGGGACCCCTGCATTAAAGAGTTTCTTGATATAAAAGAATTGGAATTAGGATACTACAAAATAGGGATCTTGGAAAGTAAAAGTGAAATTTGAAAACAAAGGGAAATTGTGGATGTGTTTGGTGTTTAATTAATTAATGGATATTAAAAAGTGGAGCTAATCTGGAAATCAGGAGTCAATAAGAGTAAAATGTTGGAAAAACTTCTTTAAACATTGTCTAAAGATGGCAGGAATGTTACTGGAACTTAAATTGGAACTTAAAAACATGAAAGACATACTACAAAAAGAAGGCAAATCATTGGGTTTCGCATTGCAATTTCTGGAAATGGAGGTTTCAAAATACCAAGAACAACAAGATGAAGAGAAATCAACACAAGAACTGGCCATCTTAAATGAACATTTGAATCAACGGAAACTTAAGCAAAGGAGGAATAGAAAGAGAATTAATAATAGGAGGTTTAACACTGTAAGTAAAAGGGGATTTATTCTAAAAACCGAACAAAAGAAAAGGAAACAGCAGGAAATGAAACTTCAGGGGGGAGTAATGGAAAAGAAGGGAGGTCGAAATTGGAGTGATAAAATAAGGGCAAGAATGAAATGGGATTTGGAAAGAAAGGAATATGGCAAGCATATAACAATGAAATGGAATTGCTTAATTAAAAGGCACAGAGTAATGGTTGATTGAGAATTATAAAGAAGGGGATTCTGCAAGAGTATTGGGACTACTTTAAATAAACAAGAAATGATAAGTTTAGAAAATAGTGAAATGTAGATTATTAAAAGGGGAGAGAGGGACTGGTATTGTTTTGCTATTCATTGTGATTGTCTGCTTTTTCTTTATTTATGCTTTGACATTAAGAGAGATAACTAAAACAAAGACATTAATAATATTAAATGAATTAATAAGCAATAACATAAGAAATGATAAAACAGTGGAATATAGAGTATTAAAATGGGAGAAGGAGATTGATATTGTTTTGCTATTGTAGTGACCGTTTGCTTCTTCTCCCTTTATATTATGAAATTAAGAGAGGTAATTAGACTAAAGATATTAATAATACTAAGTGAATTAATAAGTTGTGGCAAACAGAGCAGGAGTAATGTCAAAGGGGAAACAATATTAGTTCTTATGAAATGATGATTAATTATGTCTGTTTTATCTATATATTTTTTTAATCTAGATATATTTTTTAGGTAATGAGAAAGGGAACTTGCAGATCCAGATTTAAAAGATATATACGTAATGTAGTAATTGCTAGAAAATTGTTATTGTGCCTTTTTCTTCTTTTTAAAGTGTTAACTCAAAGTTAAATTATGGGAATCTTAGAGGGTGGGATTAATTATGTGATACGTTTAACCACAGGGATGGCACTTTGGAATTGGCAAATAGGGGTGTTTATTGTTCAACCTTGAGCCTGGTGGGATTTGAACTGCCAAATAGTAGCTAGCTGGCAGCAGAAGTAGCTTGCATACTGCACTCTAACTGCTGTGCCAGAGGCTCCTAACCACTGCACCACAGAGATCAAACAATGTATTGGAAAAATTATAAAATAAGATGGGAAAAGCTTGATGATTAAAATTAAAGAAAATATATAAAGTAAGTTTATTTATTTATTTATTTATTTATTTATTTATTTATTTGCCAATTGTTTACAAGATAATAAGTATAAGTGTATACATAGTT